CACCAAGAAGGCTCTCCTCCGTGTGGTTGCCAGTCGACATTGACCGGCAGATGGGACTCGGAGGAGGCCTAATCTATGGGATCTAATAGGTCGAGTGGAGGTGATTGGCAGTAGGCGGTCTCTCAAGTACCCAGATCCACTACCATGAAGGGCTTTATGGGTGACAAGTAGCACCTTGAAGCGAACTCGGAGATCGACAGGTAGCCAGTGCAGCTCGCGGAGGATAGGTGTTATGTGGGTGAAGTGAGGTGCACCCACAATCGCTCGTGCGGCCGCATTCTGGACTAGCCGAAGTCGCCGAATACTCTTCAAGGGCAGCTCAATACATGAAGCTCAATAAAATGGAATATAATTAAACAGCTAGTCCATTATCGGTGTGAGCCTACGCATTTCTCGTCTGTTCTCGTGTGTATTAACTCATTCAGGAAACATAACAGAAGGAGATATGTAGGATGCTTGCTCACATTCCTTTTCTTTTCTTTTTTTTAATGTTTTCATGGTTTTTCTTTTTATCAGAGGGGCAAAGAGCAGACCGTATCTAACCGTTGATCAGATGATGGAATTTATAAACTTCAAGCAGCGAGACCCACGGTTAAATGAAATCCTCTATCCGCACCTGAAGCAGGAACAGGTTCAACAACTGATTGAAAAATATGAACCCAATAATAGTTTGGCAAAGAAAGGTCAGTATTTGTCATTTCCTTCTATATTACGGTTCTGGCTCCAAGCAACTACAGTGGACAGATATGCCTTGTGGCATATACCAGTTCATATTCAATGACATTATTAGTATTGCCTACTTTAGATTTTTCAGTAGTTACAGATTAAATACATTTGTTGAGCGAACAAAGCAAGTTAAGCTTCCCTGTTGCTTTTCACTCCACAGGATGGATTATTCAGGGTAATGTAAATGTAATCACCAGGACAATAATTAATTTACTAGAATTTGAAAACTGCATGTGGGAGCATACTGCATGTGTGTGTGGGGGGGTGTTAATCTAGAAAACCATCCTTATATCATTGAGTTGCAGAAAAAGATTTCTGTTGCTTGATAATCCCAGTGTTGGTTTTAGTACAGTCTCCCCTGTACTGGTAAGATGGTACAGGTAGTTCTTGACTCTTGACTTCATTCAAAGTTACACCTGCGCTGAAAAAGAGGACTTAACTACCATTTTACATACAACCGTTGCAGTGTCCCCGGTGTCACATAATCAAAATTCTGGCACTTGGCAACTGGCATGTATTTATGACAATTGTACTCTCTCCAGGTCACTGTTTGTAACCTTCCCAGCTGCTTCTAACAAGCAAAGTCAATGGGAGAAGCCAGATTTGCTTAACAACCACGTGATTCTCTTAACAATTGACATGCTTAACAACTGTGGCAAAGAAGAGTTATAAAATGGGGCAACACTCACTTCATAACTCCTTGGTTAGCAATGGAAATGTTAGGATCAACCGTGGTCATATGTCAAGGACTACCTGTAGTTATGCTAAGTGGGCTTCTGATCAGATAGAACTGCATTCCATCATCTCCTGGGAAAGGCATTCTTTTTGGGAAATCAGTTATCATTTTATTGGCCATAGCTGGGCTTTCTTTTTATTTGTATTATTTAGTTTGTCACTCACGTACAAGGTAACAGGATTAAGAATAAACATGAATAAGAACACAGGAAATGGGTAGAAATAAATGGGGACATTAGGACAGGGACATAAGGCATACGGGTGCATTTATGCACGCTTCTACAGATTCTTTCTGCCAGATTCTACTCTTACATTCAGTTAAGCATATGCATTGCAAAAGCCTGGTGTTTTAACATAATGTTATGCAGGATTCCGGTTTTATTTTCATTAAGAGTATTTTGCAGGCTTCCTTGCTTTTGAAACGATTCCATGACAATAGCATAGAGGCTCACAGGCTGATTAGGTGTGGGAGAGGAAACATCATTGAAAGGGAGCCAATTAACAAAAGGGTAATTCAACTTTAGTTTTTGAGATCTACTGAGCCAAAATGTCTTAATTTTAGAACTAAAGTGGGATTTTACATGTGTTTATGTTTCTCCCGGAACATCTTAACTTCCCAACAAATGGTTGAATTTTTTTTCAAGTCCTAAAAAGGGCTTCATTAAATTTGGAAGTTAAGATTAAGATTTGGAAGTTAAGATTAAGATTACGTTTAGATATTCCCTTTCCCTCCCCCCCCTCTCTCCCTCCCTCCCTCCCTTCCTGTACTGATTCCTGGTGACTGCCTTTAGTAGTCCCTGCAGTTTGATAGGCAAGTTTTTTTTTTTTAAAGAAGTGGTTTGTTATTGGCTCCTTCCTTGAGGGAGTCATGGTGAAGGTCAACCAGCAGGAATAGATAGAACTCCAGGTTTATAGTGTGATGCCTTAATCACCGCACCAAACTGGCTCTCTGATCTCTTTCACTAGCAGTAAAGTGCCTCTCTGCCCCTCTCTTAGATAAACCAATTTTAAAAGTAAAAGCTTCCTTTTTTTCCCCTCCCTCCTAGCCTACCCCCCAAGACTGAGCTGCTTTCCTACTACAGATTCTTCTTCTTACTAGAACAGCATGACTGGAAATTATGGGGAATGGTGTTTGCTGCCCTCTTCTCCCAATGTTTAAGAAATTGATAAACATCCAGGGCCTCGCGTTTTAGATGGTTTTAGTATTTATTTTGTTGTTATTTTTCAACCTGGATTTAAACTTTTTCTATTTTGTTTTGGTTTTGAAATTTTGTAAGCTGCCTTAAATGCCCACCAGAAGTGATGGGCTGTGTATGTGGAGTGAAATTATAAACCAGTAAAGAAATCCATATACTTTAAAAAAAAACAAAAACATTAAGTAATGCAGCTGAACTGTTACAAAGTCTTTGGAATATCAATAAACAAAAGCTTCAATATTTTTAAAGCTTTCTGCATAAACTCCCTGTGAGCAAGACCAAGGTGAAGTAGAATAATTTATTGTGGCTTTAACGTAGCTATCTATTGAAATGTCAGCAATTGCCAAGGCTTTATTTTATCCCACATATATGCACAATGGGGCATATTCTGATGAAAGTATTGTACACATAATTTCTGGTGTTGGCAAAAACAGATTAAAAGACCTGTGTATGCTAATCAAAATAACAGGTCATGGTACAAATTTCTCTTGGAATTTTCATATGGCAATGGAGCAAAGACGAGAACAGTATGTATGTTGGAATTGATATAGTTGATGATAATCTATTCACGTTTGAGGGATAACTTTTGAATATGAGCTATATAATGAGCTATAACTTCCAATCCAAATATTGTTCGCAAACCTGCTATAAAGGGATGTGGTGGCTCAGAGGCTAAGATGCTGAGCTTGTCGATCAGAAGGTTGGCAGTTTAGCAGTTCGAATCCCTAGTGCCACCTAACGGAGGGAGCTCCTGTTATTTGTCCCAGCCTCTGCCAACCTAGCAGTTCGAAAGCATGCAAAAATGCAAGTAGAAAAATAGGGACCACCTTTGGTGGGAAGGTATCAGTGCTCCGTACGCCTTTAGTGTTTAGTCATGCCGGCCACCTGACCACAGAGATGTCTTCAGACAGCGCTGGCTCTTCAACTTTGAAACAGAGATGAGCACCACGCGCTAAAGTTGGGAACGATTAGCACATACATGCAAGAGGAACCTTTCCCTTTTTAAGGCATTGAATCTCAGTTAATTCATATTCCAGTACAGGACTGAGAATCAGGTGCTAGCTAGAGTTGCTGGACACTGTATTTCAACCACACATCAGGTGAAGAATTGTACGGGCCTAATTACATTGGAGCTATCTTTTCCTACCTTGCTGTACAATGGTACAACTTTCAACTTTTAGTCTTCTCTATTTAATATATTATTTTAGTTTATATTTGATGCTTTCTTTATGTGCACCAATTGTTTTAATCTTCTGGGTAGTTATTTTTAAAAGCACAGATGAAAATGAGTGTACACTTTCAATGGTGCATCTACTAAGAAAAAGCAGTTTTGATTCTGCTTCTTCTCAGTTGGAAGGAAAAATCCTCCTAACATCCAAGTTATGGTGTGGGCTATATAATTGAGTAGAAATAAGTATCTACTGTGTAGGGCACACAACTTCATACAGAATAACAGAGTTGGAAGGTTGGAGGTCTCCTAGAAGTCCAACCCCTGCTCAGACAGTTGAATATTTCCTGCTCAGGCAGAAAACCCTACACCATTTCAGACAAATGCTTATCCAATCTCTTCTTAAAAAGTTCCAGTGTTGGGGCATTCACAACTTCTGGAGGCAAGTCATTCAACTGATTAATTTTTCTGTCAGGAAAGTTCTCCTTAGTTCTAGGTTGCTTCTCTCCTTGATTAGTATTGTTTTTCCTTTGTTGATTATCTACCTTTTAAGAAAAGATCTAGAAAAGACATTAGTTTCCTGTGTTTTCCAAGTAAAAAGTTAGGCAAATCAAAAGGGATAATCCCTTAATTTAAATGACCTGCCTGTGATGAAGCTTTGTTGAATCAGCATAAATGAGAGGCGAGGGCACCTGCTGGAAGTCTAACAAAATAATAAATTTGGCCATTACTTAAATTTCAGGGTTGTGCTGAACCCTCCCCAGGAATATAAGGTAAGCCAATTGGTGATACTGAATGAAAATCCTTTGCAGGCTTAGTAATAAATCTAAACATTTCTTCTTAAGGGAACATGATCTTCCTGTTCCATCTCTTCTAAACTGATGCAATCTGTTATTTCAGAGGATTCTGAGTGTTCATCAGATGATTCAACAAAGGAGTTATTTACATTAGACCACAACACTTCATTTAGCTACCATTCAAAGTTAAAGTAGCAGTGAAAAATGTGACTTAATTGAATTATATATTTGAATCTGTAGCTATCCGAACTAAGCATTTATACTCCGGAAGCATTTTTTTGTTAAAATTCATTTCTAAAGAGGCAAGTCAGCATTACATACCCAGACTGAGCTGTGTTACTATCTCAATCTTCATTTAATCCTTATATTTTCTCTGTTGAAACAATGTTAATTTATACAGAGCTTGGCCACACTCTTATAAATCTCCATTTGTGAAAGGATGTGAAGCACTTGCTTGGGGGGGGGGGGGGGCTGCATCCAGAAGGATACCATATTTTTCAGAGTATAAGACGCACCAAGATTTGAAGAGGCAAATTTTAAAAAAAACCAGTTTTTGCACTCTGCAGTCCTCCCCAAAACGACCCGTTTTTCATGAAAACAGGCCTGTTTTTTGTAAAAAAAAAAGGGGGGGGGCATGCATAGCCTTTAGGAGGCTTATAGAGTGCTTCTAGGAACTGTGGGAGCAAAAACGTGCAAAAAAATGGCCCATTTTTCATTCATTTTTGCCCTTCCCATCCCTCAGGAACACTCTCTCTGTAAGCCTCCTAAAGGCTATGCATGCCCATTTTTGCAAAGGGGGTGGGGTTTCAAGAGGCAAAAAAGTGCTGTATTCAGTGTATAAGACACACCCAGATTTTCACCCTCTTTTTTGAGGGAAAAAGATGTGTCTTATACTCCAAAAAATACGGTATGTCTCTTTTCTTGACAGTAGGCCACACTAGCAGAAGTACAAAGCATGGGAGCCCTGCTTTTCCACTTGGAATATACTTTAATAATGCAGCACTCTTTTCAATACAGTATTTGATGTAAACCTCATCCCAAGCAAGTCATGCTTCATAGTA